TTGTAATAATAATAATAATTTCAGTGTATTATGTGATGTTAGTGGACTATCACACAGTCCAAAAATGTAAAAGGCCTCCACAGCCTAATCTTCAGACTTTGCTGTTCATATCGCTTTTTTAGACATGAAGCTGACATTCTGATAGGTTAATGGAAAGTAGTTCATGTTTTTTTATATCTTCCACCATAAGCTGAGCTTTTAGGTGGGAGCCACCTTTGTAGAATCTTGTTTTAATCCTGGAACGAAGTGTGTATGTGGAGGCGAATGTAGAGATATCCACGATGGTAAAGTTAAAATGGAGGTTTTCTTCTTTAGAGCGTTGGAGGACATCCAGGAGAGCATCAAGGAGCTGCAGTACTACAGAGCCAACATCTTCAAAGCATCAGAGAAGAACTGCACGATTGTTGAAAATGGAGGCAGCAGTATGAGTTAGCACAGAATGAGAATAGTCTTCAGTGTTATTATCGTATTGCCATCGGTTTTCGTTTGTGCACTTGTGAATGCTCAATAATCCTTTGTTAGAATATTGTTAGTGGTACATTTAAAGGTTTCATTGAAAGAAGCAAGCAGCAGTTTTTTGTTTTTCTTTTCAGGAGAAATCCTTTTTTCCAGGTTCATGATGGTGATCTTTGGTAGATTGTGTCTGATGCAATTTTCAATTGTTCTTGTTTTGAAAGTGAAACCAAATAAATCTGGTTGTGCCTGTGGAAAAACTAATTGTTTCCTTACTGTCATGTACCACATGATGCAGGAAATGGGAGCAACTGTAACAGAAAATACCCAAATATTTGTTTATCCATTTCAAGTTCTTTATTTTGAATGTGATGTGGTGTAGATAATGCAGGGCAATGACATGTTGGAATATTTAACATCTAAGTGAAGTGACGGACGTGAAACAAACTCAAACGTCTTCATACTGTTACATTTCTAACAGTACAGTAGTTTTATTTTCTGATCATATGTTTGGAGCCGTTGTTGGACAGTGGCAGCAAAGGGTCATATTCAAATCCAGCCCATGTAGCATGTGGTCTGCTTACTGAGCTAAACTGGCACCATATAGGTTTGAAAAGTCGTGTCATTGCTGACTGGTGACGTGGGTTCAACATAAATGGAAATGATGTGTTACTTGTTTGAGTCAGTAAGTCAGAGCTCATACACAATATGCAAAGAATGTACAGCAGGGTGGTGTTAGAGTACAACTTGGTTTAAACTGATTTAGACGAAGTGTCTTTGAAAGTGTAAGAGAATCTTTTGAATAAATGGAAAATGCTTCAAATCAAGACCAGTAAGTTACCTGACTTTAAATTCATGCACAGTATGTACTATTATATAAACCTGTGATG